AAAAAGCACACCAAAGAAGCCATGAATATCACTTTGCACCTTTAAGAGACAACTGATAACTCAGAAGGAAATGCTGAGCTTATTCACAGGGTAAGAAAGAAAGGAATCTTCCAGATGAGTTAAAATTTCATCAATTTTATTGATTTATAGTCCTACTCTATAACCCTACTCTACAATCCTAATCCACAATGCTACTCTACAACCCTACTCTACAATCCTAGTCTACAATCTGACTCTATGCTGGTGTTGGACTAAATGGTCCTGATGGCATTATCACAGTGTTTTCTCCTCCTTCCTCCTCTTCACTGAAATGATCAGTGGCACCAGGCTGGACACAGGCTCAGTTAATGTTACAAATGGATGCTGCCCAAAGGAGAAAAATAGAAATCAACAAAACTCAATAAACCATGACTTTCCAAGCTCAGTGCTTCACAGCCTCAATCAGGATTCCTCTGGTTCCTAGATAGACCCAGAAAGGGGAACAACAGGGGCATCTGCACCTCCACCTTCATGGGCAGGACCTTGCCATCACAGGCAAACCTGGCCCAGAATCCCACTCATCCATTGATTCTTCTTTCTTCATTTTGATGGGACTTTTGTCCTACCAGGGCTCTAGAAATGGAGCTTTCTCTGCCAGGCTGAGAGAGCTGGAGTTATTCAGCCTGGAGAAAAACAGAACCCAGGGAGACTTTACAGCCACTTTCTAAAACTTCGGAGTGGCTTCTGAGGGTGTGTAGGACATCTTTTTGAATAGGTCCAGTGACAACAGAACATGGGCTAATGTGTTTAAAAGAAAAGGAATGAAATCAGAGTAGGTCTAAGAAAGAACTTGTTTCCTTGGAGCACGGTACAACACTAGCACAAGTTGCCCTAAAAGCTTGTAGGTGCCCTGTCCCTGGAACCATTCTAGACAGGTGGGAGAAGGCTCTGAGCATCCTGATCCCTTTAGAGGTGTCTCTGATCATTGCGGGGCACTTGGACCACGTGACCTTTACAGGTCCCTGCCAGTCCTGCCCAGTCTAGAATTCCTCATCATTTCCGTATGAACAGAAGGAAGATTGGAGGTGAGGAGGAGGGGGTCTCATCTGATGCCTTGGATTTCAGTTGAGGAAGAGCCCATCCCTCAGACACTGTTTCACCTGCAGTCTGCAGTCTGCATGAGTCTTCTCTGGCACATTTGTTTGAAGATTGCTCAAAAACTTGGATCAGCCGTATCTTACTAAATCAATAGCCTGTCAGTTTACTGACCACGTTCTTTTGGGGCTTGATTTTTTTCAAGTGATTTCCTATGTGTAGATAAAACTACCAAGGGTTTCCCTTGAATTGTGTCCCCTTTTTTTCATTGCTGTCCATGCCAGAAAGACTAGGTGATTGTTTCCAGAACCACATGGCGTGACAGGTTTTCTTATCTGTTACTAAACTACATTTTTCACTTGTTGGCCACCTAAGATGTCTCCTGCGCAGCCTAGAGGGGATGGCTATTCCTGTTATTCTGTCCTTGTCACAAAGACACCTAGAAACAACACTCAACCAAGAAAACAAAGTAGCCATGCATGTGTATCTCCATGTACTTGTTTCCTTCTTTCAGCTACCTTGTGGATGAGTAATTGTGGTGGGTGATGGAGGCACTCTGAGTGATGTTATCAGCCAGACCCACCTGTCTGAAGACGAGATGGCAGCCATCAGTCGGGAGGTCAGGGATCCCATCTGTGCTTCCAAGGGCTTGAGCAAGATTGTCTGTGGAACTGGGGCTCAGAATGGGAGTGATTTCATGTGCCAGGCTTTGTTTCTGTATTGCTGGTATGCTATGAGCAAGCAAGAGCATCTCAAGTGAACTGCCTGCCAGTGTCCCTGCACTCATTGTACTCACTTCTTGTACTCTTATCTCTTGCTGTTGTATTCTAGCTCTGTTGATTGTATTTGGATTTGCTGATCTCCACCTTGCCTCTCTAAAACATTTACCTTGAGCCTGTCTTCAATGTATTCCTTGCCTGTAAAAGCAAAGGTGCTGGTTGTCAGGATTTGAAATGAACAGCAGGGAAGAAAGTGACTCATTTCTCACAGTCCTCAGCTGGAAAGGGTAGTAGTGCAGCCAAGATGCTGTTTGCTTCTGGCAGGTGACTGATGTGATGCTTCCAAGTCTCTGCTGAGGCCAGCAATAAATCCTTTGTCATGCAGCCTGCCACCCAAAAGTGATCCACTTCACACCAAAGGGAGGGACTTTTTCTGTCTTGGAGAGCCTTCCTTTGTCCTCTGGATGGGGAGAGGACATCCACTGCAGCTGCAGTCACTCTGCCTGGTTTGCAGGGGACAGTCTACAACAGCAGTTGCTGCTGCTGTTTCAAAAGCTGCCATGCCTTTCCTGACAAAGGTCCTGCTCTGCTACTCTTGCAGCAGCAGGCTCTTCCTCTCAGTGGCACTGTGTTCTGCTATTACTCCCCATTCCCCTGGAAAGGGAATTTTTACAGCTGTTTCCTTGCTTGTGTGATGAAATCACATCACTCATTTTCCCAGTGTTTCTGTTTTCTCTCTCAGTGCCTGCAAGGACTGGATTTTCTTCACTCCAACCATGTGATCCATCGAGATGTGAAGAGCTGCAACATCCTTCTCAGAACGGACGGCTCTGTCAAGCTGGGTCAGTGTATTCTTGGTCAGGTTCAGCCTTCCAGGGATGTGGGGTGTGGGGCTGCTTTCAGTGACTGCCAGCTCCCTAAAAATGGTGCTGCTGGCAGTGCTGAAACAGAGAAATTAAGAATTAGGAATAATTTATAAAAAAATTAAAAAAAAAAAAGCCTTTAATAAAAGATGGGGCTACAAAACCCATGTGAAATGCTGACTACTCCTGTAAGAGCAGGAAGAGAATAAAGACTGCAGGATGAGATAAGGAGCTAGAGTACGTAAACAGAATGCAAGGATAGATGTGCTATAGGATGAGGGGGTTCCTTGGATTCTTTTGGACCCTTAAGCCAGAAGAAATGGAAAGTGGGGGGTCAAAAGAACTGAAAGGAGCATGCGCAAGAAGACAAGGTGAAAAGTTCAGCTGAAGGAAAATTGCTGACTTCAGCCCCAAAGACTCACAGACAACCAGCAGAGTGACCAACAAGGAGCAGTGCACAGCTGCAAATAGGCGTGGAACTAATTTTAATAGGAAGCGGGGACAGACTGGGTTAGAAACTGAATACGTATTAGGTGTACTGTGTAACCCTAGTTTGTAGAAAATAAAAAGGGAGAAACAAGTCTCCAAGGTGTGCATGCTTTCGGAAGAGATATCCCCCATGCACCTCAGCACTGAATAAATTAATACCTACTCTCATAACTACTCTGTGAGTTATAGAGCTCTTCTATCCACGTATCAGTGCAGGGCCCCTGCTGTGAGCTGAAGGCACAATTGCAATGTGCACAGAGGTATGACGAGGAACCACAAGCAATCAAGAGTGGTGTTGGTCTGTGTGTTTCTGTCCCTTTCAGAGGGAAGGAGCAACAATCTGAACCTTCAGGGGCATAAAGGCCACTGCTGTGAGCAGCATTTAAAAATCTGTGTTTTTTGGGAGGTGCCCAATACCATATTTTCTTGGCTAAGGCCCCAAGGAAACTGAGCATGGAAAGTTCTCCTGGAGATTCAACAACACATTCTGAGACTGGGAGTGGGCAATTCTTTTGCTTGGTTTCCTAATTGGAGCTGCCTTTCACGGTGTGTTGCTTTCTCCACAGCTGACTTTGGCCTCTCTGCTCAGCTCACCCCTGAGCAGAGACAGAGCTCTGTGGCCGGCACTTCTGGGTGGATGGTGCCTGAAGTCGTGACAGGTCAACCGTACGGCCCCAAAATGGCCATATGGTCTTTTGGAATCGTGGGCATCGAAATGGTGGAACGAGAAGTGTAGGAGACGCTTTCTGGGGACAGTCTGAGACATGGCAAAGACCTCTATAATCGAGTTAGGTGTTAGAAGTTTATTTCAGGGCGTGGGATAGAGAGAGAAGGAGCCTGCTATGAGCCAGCAGATAGAGCTCAAAGCGGGCTCAGAGAGAACAGTACAAAAGAGGGTAAAATATGAATACATGAGCTCAAGACTTAAGATTGCTAAGAAAGACAGTAATAGAACAGAAGTGAGAGAGCTGGGGAAAAAGAGCAGCAAGAGCGTAGAAAGAGTGAGGCAAGAGGGCTAAGAGAGCATAGCAAGAGAGTAGCAGGAGAGACCAAGAAAGCTAAGAGAGCCAAGAGAGACCAAGAGAACCAAGAGAGTAGCAAGAGAGACCAAGAGAGACCAAGCGGGCTAAAAGAGAGAGCTAAGAGAACTAAGAGAGAGAATTCTCTTTTGCAATTACTTATATAACCTATACATTTAAATATTCTATTCTTTCACTGACCAATCTTTCTAAGTATACTAATACAGTAACATTTGTGTGCAACCTATAGAAATCACTATTTTTGAATATTTTTAGTTATCTCAGGGTCCTTCAGACCTTTCCTTATAAGGCTGGGAAGAGGGGTCTCAGCTTGGTTTTATTGCAGGAAAGAATGTGTTCTGGCATACCGGCCCAGTTTCTTTGAATTATTCAAACCGTGCTTTCATTTGTATTTCTCCTATAGCCTTTCTGGCTAAAGGGTCGTATTTATAATTTCTTTCTAATTCTACCTTCCCAACAGAGAAGTTCCTTACTGGAATGAAACTCCTGTCTCGGTAAGGCGCAAATACTCACTGATCCTGCTTTCTCACCTGTCCCATGCCCAGTGTGCCACTGGACAAAATGCCATTGCCATCTGCTGGCACTACTTCCACCAAGGTCCCCTTCTAGAAATGTCCCTGCAGCACATCAGCATCTGCTGTAGGTTTGGTTGCATCAGAAGGCAAGTGGCAGGCAACCAGTTCAGAAACGTGCCATTTTGGCCTTCAGCCATTCCTGACATTTCTCCTTTGCTTTTTGAACACTGTTGGAGCTTTGTCTCTGAAGAAAAGGAATTTTTCAATGAATGGTAAGATGTATGATAAATGTCCTTCAAATCGGTGATTGAATCTTCCCAGTTTCAATTTTATAGAAAAATAAGAAAAAAGGAAAAGAAAAAGGAAAAGAAAAAGAAGTAAAATTAAAAGGGAAAGGAAAAGGAAAAGCAAACAACCACCAAAGCCTTCCCAAAGCACTTCTGCTTGCTTTTTCCTTTATTAACCAAAGCACATCAATTTTCCTCCAAACTGTAGCATCTTTTCCAAATCCTGTGGATCTTCTAAACTTTCAGGCTTTCAAGTCATCTGTACATTGTTCTGTCATGTGTTTGGGTGGCCTGGCTAAGTTCAGGGTGTGTTTTTCTCCAGCTGCAGTTAGAATTGTGTGCCAAAGCCCCGGCTGTTTCTTGGTACTTGAACAGGTGGATGAGCTTGCAGTCAGGCACCTGGGGCTGGGATCCAAGGGGTGCGGTTGACGCCAGTGCTGTTCCTTTAGCACAGGAGCAGGGCCATCCCTGGGTTGCACAGTGCCAGTGACAGTGAGGACTCCAGCTCCCCACCATGTCCCGGGGCTGAGTTCAGCTCCACAGAGACAGAAAAAACCCTGCTTTGTGATCTCTGGTGATGTGGGAAAAGGAAAGAAAGCTGCAAGAATGACTTTTACTCAAGGGGAATGTGTTGGCTGGTTTAGGATTGGGAGGTTTCCTGTGGATTGAAGAACACATGATAACAAAGTCTCTCTGGTCACCATCTATTTCAGTGCCACCAGTACAGAGCTGTTAGCATTGGGATGGGCGTTTTTATGGAGACCATGGCAGAGCCTGGTGTCATGGAGAATTTGAAAAAACCTCCCATTTCCTGCCTGGCACTTTGTGCAATGGGCACATCCTGAATGCATTGACTTGAGTATCCAAATGAGCAGAGGGTTACCATAGGGATGGCACTTCTCCTTCTTCTGAGCCGACCATGAAAAGGTTTCCTTTTGCCACATAAAGAAGCTGAAACCTGCAGACTGCTGAGACACAGAGCTGCAGGCAGCCCCTGTGTGCTCCTTTGTGCCCAAACTGGCATTTTCATCCCAATACATTTGTGCAGGCATCTTAATGTGTCTGTGTTGAATATGAGATTCCAAATGTTTGTTTCATTGCATGAGGAATGCCTGGTAGATTTCTTTTGTTTTCTTCCAATTACCACTGTTTCCAAGAACAGCGGCAAAAGCTTGATGAGTTTTGTTTTCTGGCAGCTGTACTTAAGGGACCAACAAGCACTGCAGAGATTATTCATGTAATAATCCTTGGAAGCAGTAGAGTTAGTATAGCTAAGTCCCTCTTCAAAATAGTCATATGACAAAATATGTCAAGCTGGTGTGAATGCTCAGAGAAGGAAACATGCTTTGGGTGACGTAGTTCCCATAATTAGGTCAGTCAACGAGATCAGCTGCCAAGGCAAGTTCTGCTGGATGTTGGAAAAGCTGCATTGGGATTAGGTTTTTTCATGGTATAGGACAGTCATCTCTACCTCTCTGCCATGGCAGAAACTGCCAGTGCAGAGTGGAGCTTTAACAATGGGCTCTGGGAGAGCAGTTACAGATGGGAAAGAAACAGGTGGAGCCTTGTGTTTCCTTTTTCTCCATCATCAACTGATAGCCACGGGAGGGAGACCAAAGCTGCGGCAGCCCAACCTATTCTCACCATGCCTGTGTGATTTCCTGAGCTGCTGCCTGCAGACAGATGAGGCACGGCGCTGGTCTGCCAAGGAGCTCCTGCAGGTAAAATGCCGAGGGGCTGCAGGTGAAACAGTGACCCAGGGATGGGCTCCTCCTCCACTGAAATCCAAGGCATCAGATGAGCCTTCCTCCTCCTCACCTGTAGGGACCTGTAAAGGTCACCTGATCCAAGTGCGCTGCAATGAGCAGAGAGATCTTTAAAGTGATCAGGATGCTCAGAGCCCCTTCCCACCTAACCTGGAACGGTTCCAGGGATGGGGCACCTACAAGCTCTTAGGGCAACCTGTGCTAGTGTTGCACCATGGTCTGAGTGAAGTTCTTCCTTAGACCTAATCTGACTCACTCCCATTTTTCTTAAAAGCATTAGCCCACATCATACTGGACCTGTTCAAAAAGACATCCCACACTCCCTCAGAAGCCAGTTTGAAGTTTTGGAAAGTCTCCCTGGGGTCTATTCTCTAGGCTGAATAACTTCTGGTCTCTCAGCCTGTCCTCAGAAGAGATGTAGAGCAACCCAGATTACAGAGGTGTGAAATAGTGGTGGAGGAAGCCAAGGAAACCAGTCCCGGCCGAGCGGTCAGAGATTTGGCTGTGGGAAGGAGGGGCTGTTGAAGGCTCACTGTGAGCCTCTGAGGGGCCCTGGTTTGTTCTCCCTGCTGTTGTAGTTCATTTATTTAATTTTGTTAAGGATTTGTTGAAGCTTGTTAGTACATTCTTGTTTCCCCCATTGTTTTGGCCCCAGCTGTCAGTTATATAAACCCCTCCTATTTTCCCTGAATGCTCCCTGCCAGTCACCTTAGCCCTGCCCCTACCCCTCTATTCATCATTGTAAACCCCACCCCTTCTTCCAGACCCTTCTGTATCAATCAATTGTCCCTTGAGGCCCCACTGGTTAGTGTCTCTTGCTCCCTCCCTCTGTGAATCCCTATTGGTCTGAAATTTGTGATCCCCTCCCCTAACTCCACCTCTCAAGATTCCCCATTGGTCTACAGTTTGTACCCTCCCCTGGAGATCAGGCCATACTTAACTCCTTGCACAGCAATGCTCAGGGCTCCCTTGCACCTGATCCCTTCCAGCATGGGCCCCTCGTTTCCCTGACCTAATTAAACCATTGCTGGGAACCTCAATGCAGGAGAGACTCCTCTACTTTCTTGTCTCCACACTTGATGCTATGCACCACAGAACTTGGGGTGGCCCAAGACTCTGGAGGTTTCACTGAGGGAAAAGCGTACTCCCCAGGGATTCCCCACTCCTGGCATTCGCCTGCGCCGGAGTGCAAAGACCACCGAAGAGCCAGCCAGAGCTCCGGTGCAGCATCACCCTGCGCCTCTCTTAGAGGTTTCTGCCATGCAAACAGGGACAGCTGAGAGAGAGGGTTTTGTCCCAGCCCCATCTGCTGCCTGACACGGTCAAACAGACAGCAAGTGCCCCAGGGTTACTGCCAGGTTGTGTGGCAGAGAGGGAACTGCAGCAGGACCCAGTGCCACTCGGCTGTCCCTGCTGGGAAGGAAGGTGCCATCCAGCACTGGAGGAGCAGGGCATGGAAAGGTAGACACTGCTCTGTCTGCCTGTGGAAATTAGCACAGTGCCTGTTTTTCAAAGAGAGGGACCTATGTGAGGCTTTGGAGTTTCCTGAAAGGTAGAAACCCCAGGGACAGAAACCATCATTTCTAGAGCACTGGCGGGAAAAAAGCCCCATCAAGTTTAGACACCAGAATTCACGGATGAGTGGGACTCTGGGCCAGGTTTGCCTGTGATGGCAAGGTAGTGCACATGAAGATGGAGGTGCAGAAGGTCTTGTCTGCCCCCTTTCTGGGTCTTTCTAGGAAGCAGAGGAATCCTGAGTGAGCCTGTGAAGCTCTTGAGCTTGTAAGTCATGGTTTAATGTTTTTTGTTGGTTTTTTTCCTGTGGACAGCATCCATTTGTAACACCAGCCAAGCCAGCATCCACCCTGTCACCACTCGTCATTTCAGTGAGGAACAAGAAGAAGAAGAAGAAGACTACAAAAGTGTGTCAGAAGACACCATCTTCACAACTAGTGTAGAGTAGGACTGTAGTGTAGGATTGTAGAGTAGAACTGGGAATAAATAAAGTTTTCTGAAACATCAGCTCATTTGGAAGATTCCCCTCCTTCTGACTCTTTCAGAAAACTCAAAGAAAACCGTATTGTTTAATGGGTGGGAACTTGACCCTTGCAAGAGAAACGATGTATTGGTCAATGGGTGGGCAGTTAACTTTTGAAAGAGGAACAGTGCATAATGGAGGCATTGTTGGCATGGAGTTGGTATTCTGAGTCATCGTGGCCTCATCTCTCGTGCCAGCCTTGCAGGAGCTGATGCTGTCACTGGGAAAATTCCACTCCTGAGCAGGAGATACAAGGCCTGGTTCTGGCTTGGAGGGGTGAGAAGGATGAGATGCAGACTGTTTTGATGCAGGAGATGCCCTGAAATTGCACTGCCTACCTGCCCCTCCGACCGAGCACCATGCTTTATCTCCTTCTCCTGCTCAGCAGGTTTCTGGAAATCCAGGGGTTGGTATGTATTATTTGCTACTGCAACTAATAGAATAAATTTGCTTTGCAACCCCAGTTGTGTCTTGGCTTCTTTTCTACATGGGTCTCCTCCTGAAGCTATGACAATGACTACTTGAGACACTCAGATCAACCCTACTCTCATGTCAGTAAATTCTGAGAAGTGATTTAAATTTGTCAAATAATCAGGCAATATTTAGCCTGTGAGTTTCAGCAAATACTGAGTATGTCTCTTAGTTCCAAGGATACAAACTAGTAGGTGAGATTGCTGGGTGTGCACAAGTTAGGAAAGGTGTTGTATTTCTTTTTGTATTACTTCTTGTATTACTTGTTGCTGTGGGATCTCAGTCTCCTCAGGGCTGTGTTCTCTTGGGATACTCCTTCACAAGGAGCTCCACTTATCTCAGTTCTCCGGGTCAGGAAGAAAACTTCAAAGCTCAGAAGGATCTTCTTTCTTGTGTTTATTAGGATGTTATCAAAATACTTGGCAGGCCTTCCCAGACTTTCTGCACAAGTTCAAATCACCATAACCTGGCTCACTTTGGCTCTGAAGGCATAAAATAGCCCCAAACCATGTGGCTGTTTCATCTTTATATCCATTTCTACCCAATTAACAATGGACACGTGTATTGTTTTTATATATTAACAAATAAGTCTTCTGTATCTACTTACATAACTAAAACTGTGACTAACTTTCAACCAATCACTCTTTGTGCTCTTACAAACTGCAGAATCATGGAGAAGAATAACTTTTTCCTCCATCTTTACTCCATCTATTAAACACTCTAGAATCGGTATTTTTTACTTCAGTGATACACTAAACATCATAGTAGTTTCTACGTAATTTTTTGTAAGTCCTGGTTTACCCAAGGATATTTGGAAGCCATTCTGTCAGTGACAGACAAGATCAATACCTTTTTGGAGAATACGACAGAGAAATAATCCTCCATTTCTGGATTCCTACAGAAGGGATTCCCCACGCACCCAGAGCAGAAATAAAGAAATGCCTCCTTTCTAATCCTCAGCTGGCTGTGGGAATCAGGCCCTGCTTGTTAAAGTTTGGCAATTTCCATTGAGCAGGTAAGAAAGGTCAAAATGAAATTTTCCAGCTCTGGTTCACCTTTTTGGGGGACAAAGCTTTCTGCTGCAGGTGCCCTGAGTGTGTGCAGAGTAATGCAACTCCTACACACTCCTTGGTTTTCCTCACAACTCATCATAACTTGTTCTCAGGTGTGTCCAGCTCTGGCAGGAGAAAGAGCCCACAGCGCAGTGGGCACCGTGCCCTGCCCAGCCAGAGCTCTCTGGTACAGAGCAGCAGCAGCAGCAGCAGCAGCACTTTTCAACTGCTCCTGCCTTGGCTTCACCTGGGAGACAGAAGCCTCTGGAAATCAACACTGAAACTCATATTCCCAGCTTGGAGCAGCTGCTGCTGCTGCTGCTGCTGGTGGGCACATTCTGCCAGTTCAACTGCTTCCAAATGGGAATAAAGGCCAAGGTAGAGATGGACAAACAGAGGAGCCCTGGGCACATCCTGTAAATGTACAAATATGTGGAGAGATTTGTTAAGAATTATTTCAGCTGTTATGTCAACAGTGCTTTCTTTCTTGGTTCTTTGCAATGCTTTGGGCCATTCTCTTGGTCTGGTTGCCTTGTCTTTGGTCCCATCTGAGTGCTCAGTTGGGCAACAGGCTGTAGGTGCTTGGGCCACTCTTGCTTTCACACTTGGATCCCTTGAACAACAGGCTTTGTTTCACCAGGGGAGTGTGTGCAGCTTTGTGATAGAGGAGAACTTCCCAGGCTATTTTGTGTTTGCTGTAGGGAAGGTTGGGTGTCTTTGGATAAATCCCCACATCAATGCAGAATGCTTGCTTTGGGATGTCAGGGCATGGTTGCCACATTGTCGTGGTGACATCAGAAGGTTGCCTTGGTGCACGGAAGGCCTCAGTGTCAGAGCAGCTCTTGGGCTTGCTCAGTGCAGGAGCATCCTCCTGCTTGAGGCGTTTGTCAGTGGGCAGCTGCACACTGACAGGAGCCTTATTCTTCTTGTGCTGGAGCACAGTCTGCAAACTGGCACAGCAGTGCTCCAATGATGGAGTCACTCGCTGCTGCAGTTTGCGGTGTTTACGGCATCGTTTATTCCAGCTATTACTTGACCAGTAAGTAGAAGTTTTCCCTGGGTGTAACCTAACCTTGCTTTTGTAGGTCTTCCTGCTTTTTCTTAGTGACTGGGTTGATTTTGAAACAGAAAGACCATTAGGATGTCACTGCTTTGCTAAAGCTCCTGTCGACACATTCAGCAAAAACAGAGTGTCTGTAGCCAGAAGTCTGTAGGCAGCATTTGCAAGGTAACCTGCAGGGGTTCCGTTCCCTGCGGAGGAAAAGGAGAGAAAGGAAGGAGAGTCTGTGGCAGCAGTCTGTCCTTTCCTCAGTTTGCTGGGTCAAGCAGGACACCTTTGAAAAAGTAGACTGAGAGACCTTCTCGGAAAGCCTTCTAAAATCTCTGTGGTTGTTCCCAGAATTCAGAGAAAGATGGTATTTTTTTTTTTTTTTAATTTTATCATGAAAGGATTTGACTGTCTTAAGTTCACCCTTTTCTGAGTGCTAAAACAGCAAGTCCCTTTGCAATGAAATGCATACTCCAAAGCAGTGTGTGTCTACTCCTGAACCCTGGAGCTGGTGCTGCACTCTTTCACAACAGATCTGCCACAGCCCAGGGGGACTTAGGAAAGCTGTTCTGGGCAACTGTTTTCAGAAAGTTAATGAGAATTAATGCATGCAACTAATAAAATAAAATAAATAAATAAATAAATAAAAAAAGGAAGGTATTTGTAGGAGAGAATTAAACAAGCTGCTTTATGTCTTGGGTAGAACAGAAGATTTGAGCATTAAAAAATAATATGCATTATCTCGATCGAGATTCTATTCATATACGTGCAAAACAGGCCAAAGTGCAGGCACAACCAAGAACATTGCCCTGTTCCCTTGCTGCATGTGTGAAAGAACTATGTCTCCTGGAGGACGCTGTCGAAGGAAAATACCCTCTCTTTGGGTTCACTTACTCTGTGGGATTCAGCAGCCCAGGCAGTTTTCTCACCCCATTGGGTTCATTTTCCCTTGCTCACTGCAGGTCACCTGAGGCGTGTGTTCAGAGGTGCTGATCCTGTGGTGAGTGAGAAAGGAACCTTTGATACTCAAGTGTTTAGGAATGGTAAAGCTAACTGTGACATTAGCCTGCAGCACTAGAGTATAGATAGCCAGCTGAATAGGCTGAAAATAAATACTTTTCCATGCAGCAGCAAAAGCAAAGGTGTGGCTACTTATTTCTGTGGATGCTAGCTTTGGAGCAGGCTGCAGGCCCCATGGCCTCTCAGTCCTGCCTGAGAAGCTGGCCTGAGAAATTCACGGGAGGATTTCAAAACAATCCTCAGAAACAGAAAACAACTGCCAGGCGCTGTTTGTCTGTCCTCTTATTTTCCTTGCAGGAGAAAGTCAGGGGGTAGTGAACCCCACTGATCAATGATGGTGATGTGGTGATTTACTAACCAATAAGAGTTTCCTTTCTGTACTTTCCACGAACTAATCTATATAACAAGCCTAGAACAATAAACTAGAAAATTTCTCCTGTTGTGACTCCCTTGAGAGTCCGTGTCGTTCTTTCCCGCTGTTCCTAATTAGAACGACATATTTCCTAATTTTCCATTTCAGAGCTTTAAAGAACTAAAAGCTCCGTTTTGCCCAGGGAACCTTGCTCGCTGCTAGTAGCCAAAGAGGAATATAGAATTCAGAGCCATTTGCAGTAGGCTTGAATTAATCCTTTTTCAATCAGTGGGAATGACTTAGATTCCTTTTGTTATCAAAGTTGATGATTTTGCCTGAGTAGAGCAGGTTGTAGATGTGAAAAGCAATCAAGTTAGAAGTAATAAGTAATGGCCTGTCCCTCGTGCTTGTCTCTTTCCACAGAGCCCAGAACCAGCAGCAGTCTCTTCCGTGGCTCCCTGTGCTCCTGGAGAAGAGGCCAAAGAAGAGCAAATTGAGCAAGTGGAGCACAAGTGGCCTGAAAATTTCATGACAGTGAAAGCGCCAGTTCTGGGTGGAGCTGTCTTTAGTGCGGGGCAGAGCTGCAAGTTTCTGGCCAGCCAGCGCTTGCTGTTGGAGGCTGAGGGTGCTGAGGGCTGGAGTCCTGGCAGCACCTAGCCATTCCCTCCAGCACAAGACAGCTGGGGATTGGGCTTTGAGCTGTCGTGCTGAGGCACCAAAGCGCTGGTGCTCATCTGCGGGTGAGCATGTGGCTGCTTGGCTCAGTGCAGCTCTGTCTCTTGGCTTCTGCAATGCCATGGCCAAGGGCACAGGTGGGAGTTGTGGGCCTCAACGGGTCTGGTTTGTTTGCTTTCCCTTTTTACAATTCTGTGTTCAGCTAGTGAAGCAGCTCTGCAGTTTTGTGAGCAATTCTTCACTTTTACAGAGTCTGGTGGTCCATCTGTCTTTTG